GGGCCTGGGGGGGCCGTGCCTGAGGTGGGGAAGGGATAGTGGCCACCCGGGCCTGGGGGGGCCGTGCCTGAGGTGGGGAGGGGTGAGTGGCCACCCGGGCCTGGGGGGACGTCCCTGAGGTGGGCAAGGGATAGTGGCCACCCGGGCCTGGGGGGGCCGTGCTGAGGTGGGGAGGGGTGAGTGGCCACCCGGGCCTGGGGGGGCCGTCCCTGAGGTGGGGAGGGGTGAGTGGCCACCCGGGCCTGGGGGGGCCGTCCCTGAGGTGGGCAAGGGATAGTGGCCACCCGGGCCTGGGGGGGGCGTGCTGAGGTGGGGAGGGGTGAGTGGATGCCGGGGCCTGGGGGGGCCGTGCCTGAGGTGGGGAGGGGTGAGTGCCCACCTGGGCATGGGGGGGCCGTGCCTGAGGTGGGGAGGGGTGAGTGGCCACTGGGGCCTGGGAAGACTGGATTTGGGGGAGGCATGTCTGAGATTAGGGGTAAAGGGAGGAGAGAAGAATGGAGAGGGGGCGAGGGGGGACCCGAAAAGGGGGGCTGTCTCTGAGGTCACCGGCAGCCGGGGATCCCTTTTTGTGGTTACTTGGGGCTTAGTGGTGAACTTTTAGGACAGACCTGCGGGCCTGGCTGGTAAGGCATTGCCGGCGCCTCCGATGCAAACGCAGTGCGAGGGTGGGAGGTTCCGGAAGGCGACGCAGCCTGCGTGACAGCGAGTTTACATAAAAGCAGTTTGGGAGAGTTGTGTTACATCAGAAAGTGCGAGGAGGCTCCGGCCGTTTCCGGCAGCTCTGGGCCCGGAGTGCTCACTGGGCTGCTGCCTCCATCCGGCCAGAGCCAGGCGGGGGCCCAGGGCGCGCCGCACCCCGCGCCAGCGGCCGGCTCGCGTCCTTCTGCTAAGATCTGGGACGCGCCGGGCCCTGCACGGTCTTGAAATTGTCCTGTGACTGAGTACGTGGGTCTGTGCCCCGTGAAGCGCCGCATGGGGCAGACTGAGAGGTCCTCTCGGGTCTGGCAGCCCCCCACCGCCGCCGTCTCATCAGAATGGGGGGCACTGTTCACACCAGACTCTCCCTCGGGCCTCGTGACCTGTCTCTTCTGTGGCGTTCACCTGCTTTACCAAAACCTGCCTGCTGTATGAAGAGAACACGCTCACCTGTGTCCCTGGCACGCCCTGTGAGGCCGGTGGCAGGCTGCCCGAGACGCCCCTCGGCACGTTAGAGTCCACCTTTCTGCCCCGTTCTCCTGACGCGACTGCGGTGTAAAGTCACAGCCCCTCACTGTCGCCTTAGACCCAGGTCACCGGCTTCGACGGGGGGACAGAGCTGAGCTTGGCTGAGGTGACGGATAACTTCCTGGAGGTGTGAGAGTCTCGTGGGTGGCTGTTTCAGGAAGTGGCTCCCAGGGAGGAGTCATGCCTGAGCCACACCTGTCACAGGTGTCCCTGCGTCTGCCAGGACCCGGCGAGGCCAGCCTGGGAGCGCACAGCACGCCAGTCCTCGCTGGCATTCCATCTCCCGCCTCCAGCCTTCTGCTCACCCCAGCAGTTGTGCGAGCTTGTTTGTAATTTGGAAGAGTGGAGGGCAGCGCTGGGAACAGTGTCGGGGTGCAGCTGCAGTGCCCACGGCCCGCAGTGAGCATGAACTGACGGGTGATACCTCTGCTCTTATGCTGCAAACCCCCCGGCGTGGAAGCAGTGGCTGCTGACACACGCAGGCCCTTCTGAAGACCTCCCGCCCGCCGGGGCCATCTTGTCCTCCGGTTACGGTTCCGAAATAAACTGCGAGCCCGGCTACGTAGGGATCTCAGATGCGGTCAGAGCTTCTGCAGCTGGGCGTTTCCCAGCGCCGAGGCATACGGACCCTAATGTGTCTACTCTAAATTCAGATCCGGCTGGACCTCTTCCAGCCTGCCGTCCGTGCCTGCCCCCAGTCCCTTCATCTGTTCACCTGCTTCGGCGGCCCACGAGCTGATCCTCCTTAGGACATCACAGCAGAACGCGCAGAGCAGGGACGGCAGTGTTTCTGTCCACTCGCTTTTTACTGAACGTCGATATTTCAGTCCTCCCACGCTCAGATCGCACAAACCAAGTCTCGTTTGTTTTCAATGTTAACAACCCAGACCCAGGACAACGGAAGGCAGATGCACAATGTTGCCCTCGCTTCTTGGAGTCTGCCCGGCCTTGACATGCCCCTTCCTGGCCTTACGGACTCCGCACCCCCGTGGCCGCCCCGCACCTTGGTATTGGGTATCGGAGAACGTAAAACCGGACTCGCTCGCTGTGAGCGAGGATGAGGCCTGACTGTCCCTAGTTGGTCTTCGCTGATGAACCAGAGTGCTGGCTCATCAAGAACCTTCTAATCCATTTTCTCTGGTGAGCAGAGGCTGCGGTCCTGCACAGCAGCAGCCTGAGAGGCGAGGACCTGCTGGCCGCCTCCCGTCCCGCCGGCTCCGGGCTGCGTGCCGTGTGGCGGGGACTTGCTCTGTTGACATTCCGACCGCATCGTCTGCATCTGAGAAAATGACAATTTTTTCACGCACAAGGGGGTGTCGACCTTTTCATACGAATAAACAGGGACCGAGGCCCAGCTGCTGAAGTGTCGGACGATGTTCCCGAGCCGCGGTCGGCGCTCAGGCCGGGGAGCTGATTGTCACACGCAGCCCCGGGAAGGACACTCCGCTGGCCCGTGGGCTGGGGACCCCAGCGAGGCCACGGGATGTGCCGGCCCCTGACCCCGAGCTCGGCCTCCTGACCCCGCGGCCTGCGCCTCTGGGGTGGTCAGCTCCGCGGTTCACCAGCCTGAGCTGACCCTGGGAAGGCGAGCAGGGGGAGGGACGTGCCTGAGCCCCGTGCATCCTCCAGCGTCGTTTGCCAGGGAGCGCCCCAGGAGGGCTGTTTGCTCCGGAGGGAGTTGCTCAGAGAAACCTACCGCGGGTGGTGCAGGCAGACTCCACCTGCTTGTAGACAGTTCTGGGTGGCTCTTGGGTGCCAGCAGGAAGGAGCCGTGGGGCGGTGGGGGGGGAGTAGTGACCACCGCCTGCAGTGTCCGGTCTGGCCGTGGGGGCGGCCTGGGGTGTAGGTCTCCGCTGCAGACCGCAGCTCTGGGGATGCGGCTGGTGTGGCCAGAGCTGCCCGGGCTCCTGACGGTCTCCCTTTCCTCGCAGGCCTCTCTGGGGATTTCCTGCGCGCCGGGAGGTACTCCGCCCACACGGTCAATGGGGCCTGGTCGGCCTGGACCTCGTGGTCCCAGTGCAGCCGGGACTGCAGCAGGGGCATCCGCAGCCGGAAGCGCGTCTGCAACAACCCGGAGCCCAAGTTCGGGGGCATGCCCTGCCTGGGCCCGGCGCTGGAGTACCAGGAGTGCAACGTCCTGCCCTGCCCAGGTGAGCGGGCCTCGGCCCTCCCCAGCACCGGCTCTGCGCTGGAGTGGCCTGTGCAGATCCCCCTGCGCCTGCAGATTCCAGTCACCGCTGCCTCCCTGGTGAGGCCAGGCGCGCCCCCACGGAGGGCTGGCGCTCCTTGTCTGGTCTAAGAGAAACGAAGGTCCTCACCGGCCCGGGAGGCCTGTGGGCACTGACCCCACTGAGGAGTGGCCCTGCCGCCATGCCGGAGCCCGGCCGTCCTTGAGCCCGACGCCGGCCCTCTCCCAGACTGAGGGTCCCGCCCACCGGGAGCAGCTGCCCACACCGGCGTCCTGCTCTCAGGTGACGGTGCCTTGACCCCGGCCCCTGTCCGCAGAGGCCAGCCCTGTGCACGCTCGCGCCTTCCCTGGTGGCCAGCGGAAGCTGGGTGAGCAGGGTTTCCTCCGCTTTTCACTCCACAGAATCCCAAAAGCGCAGGGTTAAGGGAAGGCGCTGTGAGGGCCAGTCCGGGCGCAGTGGGCGGGTGGGGTCTGTCTCCTGCCTCCTCTCTGCTGCCTCTGCACCGCTGACCGCCCCTGCCCGGCCCCTCCCGGCCACCTGCCTCTGCCTTTGCTGGCAAGTGAGTGCCCCAGAGGCCGGCCTCTGTGGCGCGGACCCCGCCCGCCATGCACGAGCTAGAGGCCAGGGCCAGAGACTAAGCCAGAGCGCGCAGCACCGACCCGCCTGCAGGCACCGCAGCCCCAGCCTCCGGCCCATGCACTGCTCCTGGGTGCTACAGACCCGCCTACAGGGCCAAGCCCCGCCCCAGGCCCTTCCCATGCACCGCCCCTGGGTGCTAGGGACCCGCCTGCAGGGGGCCGCCCCCGCCCCAGCCCCCGCCCC